TTTTAGTTCAAATTACTCTACAACCAGCCCAAGTATTGAGCGCATCACAGCCAATCTTTAAGCAACTGTAACTCCGTCGTTTCTTACAGTTGTGGGCAGCTTCCAGGGGTAGTTTACTAATTCAATTACCTTTCACAGGGATATATATGAGGTTAACGTAAAGTGCCAATTTAAGAGGAACTAAGAGCAGTCAATCATATTGAAGCAAAATATGTTGTGGAACCTGTATATTATGATGCGATGGAATTTCACTTTCGCTCTGGACATGGCTCCTCGCACAAGAGGCAGATACACGAGTGACGAGCTCGAGTCGGCAGTCATAAAGGTCGTGGATGGAGTTCAAGGAATTGAGGTTTCGCATCGTGCAGAGTGCATTAGTGGCAGTCTTGTTCTCAAGCAGTTTGGAAGTTGCACTTAGGTGTGGGCAATTTCAACGAAGCAGACACTTAAGCAAAATTGCCTTCTCATATCACATATTTACTTCTGGCATAATACCCTATCCTCACAAAAAAATATGCAGCGCCATATTCATTGTTTGAGATAAATTAGCGCCTCTCAAATTGACACACAGAAATCGGTCCAATTTTCATGATAAATCACATTTCAGCATTTCATAAATTACATGAAATTCGATACCTCCGTTGCAACGCAAACGCCCATAATCTCGCGGTTACGTGATACTGTTCAGAAATCAAAAACGATGTCATAGCTGAGATGCGGGAATTTAACGCAAGCGTCTCCAGAGAATTCTTCTTATATTGGTAGTTTCGTTACAATTCATTACAAGATTTGGTGCCTCCGAAACTTTGTACTGATAACTTTATGCAACGCAAAGAGGTATAAAATTCTATAAGCCGTCAGATCACTTTTCTAGGTGCCAGGGACCACCGTTGACGTCGTCCATGTCGCTGGACGAGTTTCTGCTGCTTAATCGATAGTCGCTCCAATATATAGTAAAGCAATATAGCTGTCCCTTGTGTTTTGCTTTTACTTGCATATGTTGTTCGTCATTTGGATCGTATAAACTATCTTGGTGGCGAGAGTAGCAGTGGTGTACATAGGGCTCGTCCGGGTACACAACCGGCGATGGATTTCGCAAAGCATGGTTGATGCAGTACAAAGGAGTCAAATTGACAATCATTCAAAACTTTGAAGTTGAATATATGGAAAGTTATTTCGTTAGAAATAATTCGTTTGCATAATTTGTTTCAGCTCAACAAGCTGCATCGATTGACGTGTCCCATATCCACAAGAAGTCGCTCCGTCCTTGTGGACGAGTAAACGACCCCTGGTTGATGCCCACTACAATTAACAAAACATCCCGGAGAAATTTTAACAAAGTTATTCAAGGCAATGAAACTCAATAATCGTATTCATTCCTACCCATGTCTTGGGCAATCGATGTATCTCATTCTTGGAGTAGGTGGCAACAAGCCAGGAACATGCCATCGTTTCTTTATCAACCGAATTTTCTACTTCGTGGACAAAGACATCTATTTCTTCGACAGAGTGATCTACGCCAAATGCGCAGTCCACCCCGTCGATCTGCACTTGGAATTGCCACGCCATATGACACTGGTTGAAGGTCAGGTCAAGCCTCAGCGATGCACCTAACAACCGGTTGAGCTGACGGTTGCAGCTTGGACACACATTCACTGGCTCGGCTCGCTACATCTCGTCGCTTGATCGGACCAATTCACATACTCCCTCCGTTTTATG